TTTACTCAATAATAACTCCTTTATTAAGCGCTATATAAAAAAATGGTACAGGACTTTTCTGTTCAGTTTACTGTGCTCTACGTGCTCACGAGCGTTGTCAATAATTCGCAAATCACCACTCGTGTGTATATGAAGCATATTAAATTGAGTAGGAAAATCCTCTACCATTTTGCGATCTTCGCGACAATTAATAAGAAATTAATTAAAAAAGATCGGCCAATTCGCGCCTTGAACAAGCACGCGGCGAGAAAAGGCTTTATACTGTTACGCGGTGCTTGCCGCGCGGCGAAACGGTGGGAGGGGCGCTCTACAAAGGCTATGTACCAGAGACACTATAATCAGAGACTGGCCACAAACTCATGTCCGCCATGTTTTGGCTAAATCCTACGAGAGAGAAAGAAATATATACTATTTCATTCCAACCTAGAGTGTCTCTATTCTAACCTATAATGACGTAACATCACGACCGATAACGGATATTTTACTTCGCGTGCATGTGGCTAAATCAGGCTAAATACATTAAACTATCTATTTATCGGAATATTTATCAGGATTTCTTGAATATTTATCATCGATAAAACCCAAAAAAAAAGAAAGACATAATGCAAAATAGTATACCAAGTACAAATAAAATACCAGATTTTAATAATAATCCTATTGATAAAATGACAAATCTTGATTTAAACTCTTTATATAACATTGCTGGATATATCTTAAACTCCACCATGAAGACATGTAAAGTGTGCAATAATTGCTTAAAATCAATAGGATCGAAGACTTTATTACAATATTCATTTAGCAGATTCGTGTAATTTAAAGCTTAGACAAAAAATTCTTTATATTATATCAAAGTGGAAACATTTAAAATATTTTTAAAATTAGAACAAATATTTCGGCATTATTCTAAATATTTTCGTAATATGAAAAATATTAATCTGAAATTATTTTTATTAGAAAAATGTAAAAAGTTAAATGCAAATCACATATTAACTTGTTACGATTTGTTTTTTAAAATTATGAAAAGATTTATAGTTTTTAGATTAAGAATTTTTAATAAAAAAGATAAAACCAATATAAATAAAATCTATGATAGTAAATCTATGGCAATGCATTTTGCCTTTAAATAACTTGTTAATGAAACAATATATACATATAACAATATACAGTAGAACAGATCATAATGATATCAAAATGACGTTAAAATGACGTCATTTTGACGTTATTTGATGTTATTTCGACATCATTTTGATATCATTTTCATTGTGATTTTAATATTTTGATTTATTTTTCCTTGATTTTATCTACTTACTCTATGTTGCAATAAAAAGCTTCTTTATAATAATAAATTAATGTCAATAACAATTATCTTTTATGTTACTCAGAGTGATAACCTTGACAACATATGTCAAGATCAAGGTCATCGAAGCTGCCTCCCCTATATTGCATATAAGTACAAAGGATTGTTTTTCTTTCATTTTGCTTTATTTATTTCCCTTCATTTATGTTATTTTATTTAATTATTATAAATAATTTAAAAAATCGTAATAATTATATAAAAATATATTGATAAATTGGTAGTATGATTATACAAAATAAAATTTTGTGAATATACATATATTAATTTTCATAACTATCCAATTTTGCATTTTAATATAAATAGATATTATAAAAAATTAGAATTGTATGATAAAAAATACTTTTTATTAATTTTAAAACGTTAATTTTTTAAAAATTGTGTTATATTTTAAGATTAACGTAATTAATAGATTAGGAATAGACAAAAATGCGGACCATTCAAAACTGGCCTTTTCGTGGCTAGTCTCTGATTATAGTGTCTCTAACTATGTACAAGCGAACGCCTTTGTAGAGCGCCCCTCCAACCGCTTCGCTGCGCACCAATAAATTCACTGAAATATTTCAGAGCCCTTAAGTTTAAGACAAAAATGTTTCAGACAAAAGTTGTTTGAGGGAGTCATCTGACGGTGTTCTTCATTTGATCTTGGATCAAAATCCAAAGGGTTATTTCAAGGGCAACTTTATTTTTTTAAATGAAACTTCTTATTTTTTATTGTATATTCTTATAACCATTCTTGAGACCTTTTCAAAACACTATAATAAAGTATTTTTCGAGTTATTTTATATCTTAATCTGACATATTTTGATATAAAAAATAAAATATCTAGTAAAATATTTAGTTTTTGATAATCTTATCCCCCTCAACACCAAACAACTTTTGTCTGAAACCTTTTTGTCTTGAACTTAAGGGTTCTGAAACATTTCAGTGGATTGATTAAAATGGCCCATCCTGTATATATACAAGGTATCCCATCAAAAATGACTATCACTTTTTATCTTTTTAGTTAAAAGAGATAATCCATAACAAATATATATCAAATTAAATGGTTCAAACTGAACTTTATTGTGAGTATAGTAATGCTTACAAAAGCTATCAGTGTTAACGAACGGAGACATGTACATAATTTTTTTATAACAACATTATATTCGACACAATAAAAGTTGTAGCGCTGTTTGAAACGAATATAATGATGTATGATTTAATATAGATATTTTACATATTATACGAGTTTTATCGGCTTTAAATAATGCGGACGATATTTATCTTTTCATTTTTGGTCCTGCGATATGGTCAACTTCTGACTCGTACGTTAGAGATTAACGTATGTCGATTGATCATAATACTCATTGTTGATGGGGCACACGTGTCTCGCTCCGTGCACATTGTAAAGGTTGTTAATCAAATACAGTCAAATCGGAATAAAATATCATTGTCTTTTCTCACTTTCATTAGAAAAATCAGTCCAACAGTAATAAAGAAAATTTCGATATATTAAAGCACTATATTCAATGTTATTATATCGTTATTTTGTGCTATTTTCTTACAATTAAAACAATTTCATATAGTCTTTAATAAGCAATATTGCGAGGAAAGAAAAAAGGAGAATATAAATTATTAAATATTCAAAACTCTAAGCGAAAAAATAAAAATCTTTTACCTTATGTGATTTGGAATTAGAATTAAACGATTGCAAGATCAAGTTTGCACCCTGGGAGTACAATATGGTTGAACAGTCAGGATTCCAGCTTGATGTTAATATAGGAAGATTTGCTTTAATTAATGTAGATCGAAGCATACCACTACGAGACCAGATTTTGATTAATCCGTCCTCACCAGCTGCAATCAAGGCCATCTTTCTAAATAATGAATTTTCAAAGACATTATGATAACATACCAGTCAAAAATACAGAACCGTCGTTACTCCATCTTCCTACTGTTGTTGCCCCCTTATGAGCATTGATACTTTTTTCAATGCGACCATTTTTATTGACCAGATGGTATTTTCCTAAAAAAAAAATTAATTATTAACATTGTTCTAAAAATATTGTTTTAAAAAATTGTTTATTTTTATCCCATATAATTCTTATAATTAGTCAAACAAAAAAAGAACTTTTTGTATCGCTAATCTCATATAAATTTGTATTTCTTATATTATTAATTCACGCGCGCAAATTTTTTTAAAACTTAAATTTTATATTAGGATTTTAATATTTAATATTTTTAATAAACTATCAACACTTCTATATTTAATATATTTTTAATATTTTTTTAGTTGCAATAAAAAATTATGTAATAAATAAGATAATTTAATAAATTTATCAATTTGATGATAACACAAAACTACACTTTACTGAATTTATTTAGAACTTGAGGATATCTCCTTATAAATATTTTCTTTCCTTATGAAAAATTTCTTAATAAAAACATAATTGCACATATGAAATAAAATTAAATATTTTAAATTTTTTAATTATATCTTTATTAATAATAATTTATACTTATATTTAATAATAATGCAGCATTAAAAAATAGAACGGTTTTCAAAAAAATTATTTATAATTCATAAATACATGCAGGATGTTCATAATAATCGTATATCAATAATAATCGTATCACCTCTCGTATGCAAGTAGAGCGGGTTAAGGGGATTTTTAAAAAAGGTAAAAAAAGGCGCCAAGTACACGCGCTAGTTGTGAAAAACTGTTATATGTATTGTTGCGTCCGCGCGTCGACTTCGATAATACTCGAACACGCGCGACACAAACGGCACTCGCGTACCGCGACGTAAATGATTAACACTCTTTTAAAAGAACAAAAGGAACTTTAATAATAACACAGAACACACAATTAAACAAGGAACACAGAACGGGTAATAACGGTAATCGTATCTCAAATATGTCCGCCCGGAATGACATCCGTCGCGAGACTCAAGATGGCCGATCTCTCCCAAAATGTCCGACGTTGTTTAACAACAACGCTTAGCAACGTTCTCCCGGAGACGAATACAGCAGATTCATGAATAACCGCCTTAGACGACCCGCAGGGACGCAACACTACTCCCCCTCTTCAAAATTGTCGCCCCGACAATCAATGAAGGCTCTTCCAAATTAAATGGGTTGATCGTTGTCCTCTTCTTCAAAGGCGTTGACTCCTTAAAGAGTAATTGCCTCCAACGATGGCCCCGATGTTGCATCTTGAGGCGTCGTCATAGCACGAACTCTCTTTCGTGTGGAAACTCCCGTTATTGGATCCTGTTGCTCCATTGCCATAGCTCACGCTTTTCTTTTAAAGTACACAAAACGGTCCGTCGTATCGTATCCCGGACGAGCCCCCAAAATGTTGCGTCCGCGCGTCGACTTCGATAATACTCGAACACGCGCGACACAAACGGCACTCGCGTACCGCGACGTAAATGATTAACACTCTTTTATAAGAACAAAAGGAACTTTAATAATAACACAGAACACACAATTGAACAAGGAACACAGAATCCTTTTCCGGGCCTATCTGGTAAAGCTTATGATTAATTTCAAAACAAGTCGATCAGTTTGGCACGGGGCACTTTTACATTCGAAATTGGTGATCAATATAATCGACATTATTACAGTAAGGGTTAAATAATTTTATGATTTACTATTTGTAATAAAATTCGCAATATAATAATGCTATTTTATATATTATACAAAATATTTATTTGGAACACAATAGCGTAATTTTTTAATAAAAATAAAATGCATTTTAATTTTCTCGAGAGAATCTACAATATATCTATAAGTGCAAGATTGATTTTGTAACAAATACTATTTCAAATTACAAATTCTCACAAACTGAATTGCTTCTAAGTACTTGGTTAGTTAACTATTGATTTCATATTTAATTTTGACTTTTTATTTTTTAGGGGAAAACTTTTTAAATAATTATTTTTTAGAGGTAAATATATTTTTTAAACTTTTTGTTGCGTACAAGGGATATTTTTTATGTACTTGGCGTACTTTTTTTACCTTTGTGAGGTTTTTTTAGTGTTGTAATATTTTTTAAATTAATATAATTTTAACATATTATGATTTAGAGAAGAAGAGAGAATTATTAATGTTATTTACGAAAATACGATATTTTTTGTATTAATTATTAATGTTATCTTCAAATATAGTATGTATTTATGTAATTTTTGTTATTGAATTCAAAGAATATTCTCTTTTACATTACAAACAATAACTTACAATGATTGATATATGCGAGAATAAAATTTTAGAGCTATAACATAGATAGTAAGAGAGAATACTCTTATCTTGGATAATATTATACATTCTAAAAGAAATAAATGTGTATATCATACACAAACCACATACCATCCGCAGTAGTTATTAATAGCACATCCAAAGACGATTTCTTAGCAATAGAAATATGATTAGGATGTGGATGCCATTGCATATCCGTAGGATAAAAATCATTTGAAAATTCAGTCACAACAGTAGAATGTACAGTACCATTTTTTAAATGCCAACATACAAGTAAATGATCTTCTCTGCAACAAATAACTGTATATTAATTCGATTTTATACTCATGCAAAAAAAGACAAAAAACAAAAAAAAATTCAAGAAAAAGTAAAAACCAAAATATTTATTTTATTCTAAAAATACATTGATTGTACACACACACACACACACATATGCGCGCGCGCACACACGCACATATATGTACATGTGCTAATAAATAACTTTTACATTTGTGTTAAAAAAATATATTAGTTTTTGCTATAAAATAGTTATTATTTATTATTTATTACAAAACATTTAGTATTATAATTATATTAATTTAATTGCTTTATACATATAATGATAGAATATATTTTCACAATATTTTATTTTTACAATATTACTGCAATATTTCTATTTTAATCCTATTCATCAAAATATGAAAAAATATTTAACTTTATTCATTTCAGGGATTGAATTTATGAAATTGTTAAATCTTACAAATAAAAGTTTTATGGATATATATATTGTAAAATATATATGTTATTCTTTCTGTAACGCAACATGAAATATAATTATAATAGATTGTTTACCTACCCACACGAATATATTTCTTCTGTCGAGTTCCATGCGACACAAGCAACCAAGCGTTTATGTATATTATTGTCGTGTAAAGATATCTTAAATCTCATTGTAACACGTCTAAAAATAATTTTTGATTGTCTTTAATAGAATTAAAACATTTAGTCCACACGTACACACTTCTTCATTTCATAGTGTAAAGTAGTTCTAAAAAAGTTAAAGTTGATTTGAAAGACACAAGTAAAAGCAAATATTAACGATATATAACTTTTTCTTATTACGAAGTAACGTTGATGGCGATAGAAATCATGTAGGTTATGTTATAACTGATGCAGATGTATTTTATGTTTACTGTTTAATTTCTATGGTAACCACATAACAGCGATGAATGGCTTTTTATCAATACTATAGAACATTACAAAGCGCGCGCACGGCACGCCCGCTTTTATTTCCTCTTCTATTGTAATAAGTATTACCATTTAAAAAAAAAAGTAAAAAAAGTATACGCGCCAGTTGTGAAAAACTGTTATATATATTTAAAGAACAGTGTTACTTTAATTTAATCTACACAAAATAGTGTTATTTTAAATTATTGAAAATAAAAACTTAAAAACTTAACAAAAAAAGTTGTACAAATAATATATTTTACAAAAATAATAATATAAAAAATTACGCCAATTAAAAATAAAAAATTATACAAATATTTTAATCGGAAACAGTTGTACAAAATAGCTGTTTTAATTTCTTAACAAAAATAACGATATTAAAAAATTGCGCTAATTTAAAAAAAAAAATTTTGCTATATAAATAAAATTTATAGATTTTCAATATTAAAAGAAAAAATATATCTAATAATACAAAACACAAAATACATAAAATAAAAATTAATAGAAATATTAAAACTTAGAAATTTATACAAATATCCAAAATTAATACAAATCAAAAAATTAAAAAATTTTAATTTTTTTATTTGTATTAATTTTTACTTTTTTTAAAAAAGGTAAGTTTTTAGAGATTGTATCATTCTTTTTTACTATATATTATTTTAATAACATGTAAAGCAATCAAGTTTCTAATAGGTTTAATCAATAGCTTGAGTTTATATTATATAAAGTATTTTAAAAATAATAAAATAAAATTAGAAATTGACAATTGGAGCCGTATGTAAAACACAAATGAATCAATCAATAATATTGTAAAAGTATTTTAACAAAAAAAGTATTTTTATTTTAACTCTACATGTTCTATAAACAATATAGATTTATTAACGTAATATTATAAAATTTTAATCAACAAAAGTTCTGCAGAAAATATGGAAGATGAAGAGATTGAAAGTACATTAGAACAAAGTGAGGATAAATTAGACAGCGATGAAGAAGCTGATTTGCAACAGGAGTCTTAAGACGCTGAGAGTATATCTGATATGGGAAAGCAGAATAATTATAATATGAATATAAACAATATGAAAATAAATGAATAATAAATATAATGCATAGAAAAAAAGCTTTAATACTCCGGTGCGTATTAAAATATTATTATAATTAAAATATTAATTTAATGCGTAAGAAAACTGGGATGTATAAAGTAAAAATATGCGTAGAAAAAAATTGGCATTAATAGTCCAGTATAGAAATTAATGCAAAATATTCAGTGCGTAGAAAAGTAACATATAGATATTAATGCAAAATACTCTAGTGCGTAAAAAAACAAACATTTTAACGTAAAATATTCCAGTACGTCGAAAAAAAAACAGACATTATATTCATTGTTTCAAATTTTAATGTAAAATACTCCACTGCTTAAAAAAAAATTAAATTATATATTTTATTATATATTTTGGGAAACAATGTAATGCATATAAAATATTAAAAGCTACCCGCTCACGAGCGTTGGCACAATCTTTACCGGGCACCCTGTATGTTACATCCTGCCAATTCCATGATTCCTTTTTTCCGCGAAGATGCGGCAATGACCGTCGATTGGTGATAAAAATGAATCGTTCTTAAACACTTACGTTGCCTAAGACCCGTATTCTGAGCTCACATTTAGAGGCACATCTAAAGTGCCACATTTAGAGGCGCAGATAAATGTACGACAGTCAGTCGTCGTATTCTCGTCGCACATTTATAGCGCCTCTAACTTAGAGGTACATTTATGATTTTAGAGGTACATTTATTTATTTATTTACCATGTTGTATATATATTATGCTTATTACGCGCATAGGGCACTGTGATTGGCCTTCAAACAGTTCATTTCTACTGCAATACAAAATGCAAACGCGCATATAATTGTAACAACATTCTTTAATTAACCGATATTTTTGTCGGAACTTGTGATCATTATAAACGTCTTCAAAAACATCTATTCTATTTCGAAATACCCGCGGGTCACGATCACGCACTGCTTTTATTTTCCAAATTTCGATCGCATGATCAATGGCCTAGTTTATAATATATTTTAATACGTAAAATAAATTCTGTCCAATCACAATTGTTCCATTCTTTAAGAGGAATGGCTATGATTGGCCAGTGTAATACGTATTAAAGTATATTGGTGTAAACTAAGCCATAATAAATAAGAAGAGAATTGATATTTATCGATCGATATTTATTGATATTTATCATTCGAGCCTCTTTTAACTTTTAAATTTTATTATTTATTTTAAGCCATAATCGTCAAATACGTCCATGATATTACAGTTGAGTTTGCTCTTTCAACCTAGTTTTGCTTCAAAGTGCAGGATTCTTCGTCCTAATTAATCCTTCCAAGTGAAAATAGTGTCAAATAAAATGCACTCTTCATTGCACTTTACAAAACTATACTTTTAGAAGAAATTTCAGAATTAACCAAATATCATTAATATTGTTATGTAAAAAAGTTCTATTATTTACAGAAACTTGATCTGTAATAATTTTATTAATGAAATCAATTGTATAACAGTGATAGAATTAATCAAACTTACGAAGCATCAAGTACAAGCGCCGGTATTAAATATAAATGTACGTATAAATGTGCTCTCGGGCACATTTAGTGGTACATTTATCGAGAATGGCATAAATGTGCTATAAATGTGGTTCAGAATACGATTTTCACTATAAAGTTGCGCATTTAAGCTAAAAATGGCGATCTGCCGTTAAATGTGCGCTCAGAATACCGCCACATTTATTGTGTCATCTAAGAACATTTAGAGGCACATCTAAAGATAAATGTGAGCTCAGAATACGGGCCTTAGTCACTTGTCTATATTGTATGGACAACATAAATCTGGGACCATATATTTTAATGCGACCCGGACACGCCAAGTTTTTATACTTTGCGTTAGTGTAAGTTTGTTTTATGCGACTTAGAGTTTATGAAAAATTTTCTTTCAAATTATACATCCTGCAAGATATACTTTGCAAATCAAAGGAATCCTAATCACACTTAACATCAACAATATGATTTGATATTATAGTACATAACATCCTTAATAAACTCTATAATAGTGTAATTTGTGATATACACTTCAAAATTGTACTTATTTTAAAAATCGGGTTTCCGTTAATATAAACAAAATGCGTTTTAATTTTATGGAGAGAATCTGTTTATAACATTTCTATACCTATATACAAGATTGATTTTATGACGAATATTATTTCAAATTACAAATCTTCACAAACTGAACTGCTTCTACGTATTTGGCTATTTAATTATTGATTACATTACATTGATTATTTAGTTTTTATTTTTTATGTTTTAGGGGTTTTTTATTCTTTAGGGAAAAACTTTTTTATAAGTTATTTTTTAGATGTAAATATATTTTTAAACTTTTTGTTACGTACAAGGGATATTTTTTATGTACTTGGCGTACTTTTTTTTTATCTTTTTGCCAGATTTTTTTAATAGGATATTACTGCTTTTTGTAAAAATTTAAAGTTTAAAAGTTTTTCTGCAACATATAAAGTATTACATTATACACTATACATATACATGGATGTGATTTTTTTTTAAAGATTTATTCAATAGAAAGGAAATTCTTTTCTAGAAGGAATTATATAAACAGAATATATATTTGCAAAGCTTATACCATATTGAAATTCAATGAACACAATTACAACGTGTCTTAGTGTTCAATCTCTTAGCATCACTTAACAGATTTTAAAACACTATATAATTTTAATAAGATATAATTTTTTTTTATGCATATAATTTTAATACGGAGAGAAGTTAAACTGTATAGGTATTACATAGATATAATTTTAATACAGAAGTTAAACTGTATACAAACCGTATAATCAATAATAATAATATAAATTGTGTAAGTGAATAAATATCAAAATATAGAAAGCAATAGAAAGAAAATTCTTTTTATTACGAAGCGAATGGATTATTTCGTATACATATATTTAATATGAATATGAAACAAGTCTATTCTATTAAATAAAAATATACACTTATACAGTATATAATTCCTTCTAAAATGTTTTCTAATAAATGATAAAAACAGAAGGGATCAAATATTATTTTGCATTTATTGATGAATCCACGTTGCGAAAACTGCGGAACGTTTGCGATTGGTTCCGCTCTTGTTCCGCGTTACGCTATTCCGCTGCATGGGTTTGCAGGACAAAAAGAGTAAAGATTTCTTTATTCTGATTGGTTAACGCAATGCTTCAAAGCATCTTTAGCGTCTTCTCGACCGCAGCCATAAACACGTATGGATTTATTACACTAATTTTTACGTACAATATGTTTTTACAATTAAAATATTATGAATCGTTATTTTATTGAAGCTAAAAAACTGATACTCTGTAACAAATATTAAAGTTTTAATTGTTAATATTATAGTATTACATGAGGTTAGGAAATCTGTCATCAGATTTTATGGCTATTGACGGATAACACATCATGCGAGATATGAGATATAAAGATATGTATTACATTTCAATAATGTATATTTCTATTATGAAATCAATTGATAGTACACATCTCCTAATCTCATGCTGTCAGGTTTTAGTGCTTTAATATTGCTTTTACAGTTTTGAAACAATACCTAAAATTTTTTAATATTTTTTGTCTTTTTCACAAAGTGATGTTAAATGAGCGCATTTTTGTCCAAATATGGTGCTTATCTTAATAATTTGAAGTAAAGTCTTCCTCTTTGTACATAATAAGATACATTACTGTTATTTACAAATGTTGATTAGTATATTTACGCATTTATTAATAATCTGAGATTAGATTGTAAATTAGTAATATTACAGTAATATTCTTATCAATATTTCAACAATTAATTAGTCTTTTTTTATTTTCAGTAGTGTTAGCACATCATTGTGTACACGCAATACATTCTAGTATCGTAAAAGATGCTTTATTTACTGTGTAAGACTGTTTTTAAATCTGAACAATATTTGTTGTTTATTAAATTTTAATAAAGTATGTTTATTAGCTGGTAATGGTATGTATTACTGCTAAAGCAATATTTCTACACAAAATTATGTGTGTATGAAATTCTAATTTATAATGCTTCTAATTTAGATTATTAAATATCAATTT